GATTATGATAGAGGGCCACGAGACTTTGACCTGAGTGCAAAAATGGAGGCTCTAGACCCTTCCAGAGCTGAGATATCGAAATTCAAAATTTCGACCCGAAAAAAAAACGACAGTGTTACCCCTTTCGTTTTTTTCATTTTCGGGCGAAAAATTAAGTTTCTCCAATCTTCTCAAAACTCTGGATTATGATAGAGGGCCACGAGACTTTGACCTGAGTGCAAAAATGGATGCTCTAGACCCTTCCAGAGCTGAGATATCAAAATTCAAAATTTCGACCCGAAAAAAAAAACGACAGTGTTACCCCTTTCGTTTTTTTTCATTTTTGGGCGAAAAATTAAGTTTCTCCAATCTTCTCAAAACTCTGGATTATGATAGAGGGCTGTGAGACTTTGACCTGAGTGCAAAAATGGAGGCTCTAGACCCTTCCAGAGCTGAGATATCAAAATTCAAAATTTCGACCCGAAAAAAAAAACGACAGTGTTACCCCTTTCGTTTTTTTTCATTTTTGGGCGAAAAATTAAGTTTCTCCAATCTTCTCAAAACTCTGGATTATGATAGAGGGCCACGAGACTTTGACCTGAGTGCAAAAATGGAGGCTCTAGACCCTTCCAGAGCTGAGATATCGAAATTCAAAATTTCGACCCGAAAAAAAAACGACAGTGTTACCCCTTTCGTTTTTTTTCATTTTTGGGCGAAAAATTAAGTTTCTCCAATCTTCTCAAAACTCTGGATTATGATAGAGGGCTGTGAGACTTTGACCTGAGTGCAAAAATGGAGGATCTAGACCCTTCCAGAGCTGAGATATCAAAATTCAAAATTTCGACCCGAAAAAAAAAACGACAGTGTTACCCCTTTCGTTTTTTTTTTTTCATTTTTGGGCGAAAAATTAAGTTTCTCCAATCTTCTCAAAACTCTGGATTATGATAGAGGGCTGTGAGACTTTGACCTGAGTGCAAAAATGGATGATCTAGACCCTTCCAGAGCTGAGATATCAAAATTCAAAATTTCGACCCGAAAAAAAAACGACAGTGTTACCCCTTTCGTTTTTTTTCATTTTTGGGCGAAAAATTAAGTTTCTCCAATCTTCTCAAAACTCTGGATTATGATAGAGGGCCAAGAGACTTTGACCTGAGTGCAAAAATGGAGGCTCTAGACCCTTCCAGAGCTGAGATATCAAAATTCAAAATTTCGACCCGAAAAAAAAACGACAGTGTTACCCCTTTCGTTTTTTTTCATTTTCGGGCGAAAAATTAAGTTTCTCCAATCTTCTCAAAACTCTGGATTATGATAGAGGGCCACGAGACTTTGACCTGAGTGCAAAAATGGATGATCTAGACCCTTCCAGAGCTGAGATATCAAAATTCAAAATTTCGACCCGAAAAAAAAAAACGACAGTGTTACCCCTTTCGGTTTTTTTTCATTTTTGGGCGAAAAATTAAGTTTCTCCAATCTTCTCAAAACTCTGGATTATGATAGAGGGCTGTGAGACTTAGACCTGAGTGCAAAAATGGATGATCTAGACCCTTCCAGAGCTGAGATATCAAAATTCAAAATTTCGACCCGAAAAAAAAAAACGACAGTGTTACCCCTTTCGTTTTTTTTTTTTTTGGGCGAAAAATTAAGTTTCTCCAATCTTCTCAAAACTCTGGATTATGATAGAGGGCCATGAGACTTTGACCTGAGTGCAAAAATGGATGATCTAGACCCTTCCAGAGCTGAGATATCAAAATTCAAAATTTCGACCCGAAAAAAAAACGACAGTGTTACCCCTTTCGTTTTTTTTCATTTTCGGGCGAAAAATTAAGTTTCTCCAATCTTCTCAAAACTCTGGATTATGATAGAGGGCTGTGAGACTTTGACCTGAGTGCAAAAATGGAGGCTCTAGACCCTTCCAGAGCTGAGATATCAAAATTCAAAATTTCGACCCGAAAAAAAAAAAACGACAGTGTTACCCCTTTCGTTTTTTTTTTCATTTTTGGGCGAAAAATTAAGTTTCTCCAATCTTCTCAAAACTCTGGATTATGATAGAGGGCCACGAAACTTTGACCTGAGTGCAAAAATGGATGATCTAGACCCTTCCAGAGCTGAGATATGAAAATTCAAAATTTCGACCCGAAAAAAAAACGACAGTGTTACCCCTTTCGTTTTTTTTTCATTTTTGGGCGAAAAATTAAGTTTCTCCAATCTTCTCAAAACTCTGGATTATGATAGAGGGCTGTGAGACTTAGACCTGAGTGCAAAAATGGATGATCTAGACCCTTCCAGAGCTGAGATATCAAAATTCAAAATTTCGACCCGAAAAAAAAAAACGACAGTGTTACCCCTTTCGTTTTTTTTTTTCATTTTTGGGCGAAAAATTAAGTTTCTCCAATCTTCTCAAAACTCTGGATTCTGATAGAGGGCCATGAGACTTAGACCTGAGTGCAAAAATGGATGATCTAGACCCTTCCAGAGCTGAGATATCAAAATTCAAAATTTCGACAAGAAAAAAAAACGACAGTGTTACCCCTTTCGTTTTTTTCCATTTTCGGGCGAAAAATTAAGTTTCTCCAATCTTCTCAAATCTCTGGATTCTGATAGAAGGCCGCGAGACTTTGACCTGAGTGCAAAAATGGAGGCTCTAGACCCTTCCAGAGCTGAGATATCAAAATTCAAAATTTCGACCCAAAAAAAAAAAAAATGACAGTTACCCCTTTTGTTTTTTTCGGGTCGAAATTTTGAGTTGCTCTGATCTTCTTGAAACTCTGGATTCTGATAGAGGGCCGTGAGACTTAGACCTGAGTGCAAAAATGGAGGCTCTAGACCCTTCCAGAGCTGAGATATCAAAATTCAAAATTTCGACCCAAAAAAAAACCGACAGTTACCCCTTTTGTTTTTTTCGGGTCGAAATTTTGAGTTGCTCTGATCTTCTTGAAACTCTGGATTCTGATAGAGGGCCGTGAGACTTAGACCTGAGTGCAAAAATGGATGATCTAGACCCTCCCAGAGCTAAGATATTGAGATATTTATAATGGCATAAATGCTAAGTGGGATCTCAATATCTCAGCTGTGGAAGGGTCTAGAGCCTCCATTTTTGCACTCAGGTCAAAGTCTCATGGCCCTCTATCAGAATCCAGAGTTTCAAGAAGATTGGAGAAACTTTTTTTTTTTTTTTTTATATTATTTATATATAAAATATTTATATTTATATATAATATAACTTATATTTAAATCTATATACAGTATATACATGAAAATATTTCTTAAATATATATATAAATATATATATATATATATATATATATATATATATATATACTATATATAAAATAATTATACACAGTGCACCCACATATATTATGTAAACATAAACTTTTATTTTGGATGCGATTAATCGCGATTAATCCTTTGACAGCCCTAGTTTTTACTATGCTTTAACACATCAAAATAAGTTGGTTTGAATAAAAAAAGTCAGTTTAATGTAAATTTAAGTTAATTAAATTAAAAAGAAATATAAAGAAATGACTTAAATATCTAAGTGTAGCAAGTAGATGAATTTGTCATTCGTTTGACGTTTAATGGCCTCTGTAAAGACCTTATGCACTAGAAAAACAAGCACGCAGCCATCTTTAGATGGCAAGCCCAGAGCTGGAAAAAAGGCGGGAAAACTGTGAAAAATCACCACAGACGTTATTTCATGCATCTCACCCAAAAAACAATTAAAAAAAACCCCATTAATTTCAGATCGATCCAACCGGAAGTGCTAAAATACAGCTCTTTTAGGTTTTGTCTGACAAAAATACATCATCCCTGCCACTCTCTAGAGTAGACCACCTTAACAAGAACCTGTTAATATGAACGGCTCTTTACACATAATGAAATGCTGACCTCTACTGGTCATATAGAGTTAATTACAGTCCCTGAAGGTGTGGTTTCTGTACTTCTGTAGCTGGGCTCCTGGATTGGATTCACACTGATGACCCAGTGTGTGCCCGTGTTGTTCTTCACTGTGGTGGGATTTATACAGATGACGATTTGGGCCAAAGGAAAGCATCGCAGCTACCTGAAGGAGTTCAAAGAGTATCCCACACTGTGCTCCCCAATCCTACCTTTCATCCTATAGCAGGAAAACACACCACTAAAAAAAAAACAAGATTTTCTTTTTCTTTCTTTCTTTCTTTACAAATATAAATCAGTATTTTGCTAGTTTATACAGAAAGTCTTAATATATATTATTGCATGAAATAACTGCAGTAAGTAATGAGACACTGTAATGTTGTATTTATATCAGGTAAAGTTGCTCTATTTTAATAATCATAAATTAAAAAAAATATTTTACTTTTCATATACACGATTTGCAGAAAATTGTGCAAATGTGTAGGAACACAAACAATTAGCAGACAAAGTACTACAACCTAGAAATCCAAAGAGACTCTTTTTGTCTGTGGTGAGAAGCCATGATGTGAATTAAAGACTGCCTTTATCTTGAGGCAAATATAAGACTTCGATTCATTCTTCAGAAATGACTTCATTTGCATGTAGCAGAAATAATGTATTTCCAAGCAATACATCTGACGTGGCAACAATTTTATGCTATTGCTTTTTTTGATTGTGTGAATTTATGGTAATCTTTTATCAGATTGGCTTACTTTACCTGGGTTAATTTGATGAACATGTCAAGGGTATATTTCAAAGAAATGCATATTTAGCCTCTTTTTTAAGACCATTAAAGATCTTAAGGGGTGCTTAAAGGGGTACTCGACTCGGCGCATATATATCTATGAAGTCGGTGCAGTAATAATACATTCTGCCATACATTATAGTAATCCATTTCTTTTACACACTTATTAAAGAGCAATGTTTTATTTTGTGTCACCATTCTTTTACACCATTCGAGTTACACTACTCGTTAAATAGGGAAACATAATAATAGGTGGTTGGAGACATAGCTAGTAACTCGCTCCATGTCTCTTCTTGGCAGGCGCGATGCACAACAGAAAAGATTAACGCCACAACTGCAATTTCAGATTCTGAAACTGGAATTTATTTCCTAACTTTGCATGTCCATTTAAAGACTGCTGTAAAACGTCGCTTAACATCGTACATTTAATGGGACAGGAACACAATGTTTATACAATATTGCTACTCTGTAAATTATATCTGACAATAAACACTGGTGAATGAAAAGCTCCACCATTGAAACAAATAACACTTCTACTAAGATGAATGGTCCCATCAGCCCTGTGAGGGACGAACAGACGGACGCCGACACAGGACAGAACAGAAGACAGGGCTGAATCATGCGGCATGTCCTCACCAGGAAGAAGAGAAGATCGGCTGAGGAGGATTGTGCAAATCAAGTCTTAAAGAGTTAAAGTTTCCCCTCATTTCATGGCCGGCTCTCTGAACCAGGAGCATTTCAGTCCGTTTGGCTGAAAACCAGCACTATGAGAAGAGGCGGCTGTCCTCCTGAAACTGGCTTCTCTGCAGTACCTTCACATGATTCTCATAGATTTTGAGAGCGGGGCCGAGTCTGATCGACAGACCAGTCAACACGTCACTGCGCTGCATCAGCAGTAAGGACTTCCCATCTATTTCCTGTCGGAAGATACAAAGGTTACTGGAGATCTGCGGCACAGATCCAAGACATTTAACACATTCTGAGACATTCTGAATATAAAAAGAGATGGTCTACACTAGCGTTCAAGGGTTGTTTTTTCTCTCGTTTTTGTTTTAAAGAAATCACTACTTTTATTCAGCAAGGACACATTAAAACAATCAAAAGTGAGAGTAAAGACTTTTTTTTAAACTTTATTCATCAAAAATTCTGAAAAAAATGAGCAGCACAACTGTTTTTCAATACTAGTAATCATCAGAAATGTTTCTTGAGCATCAAATCATCATTTTAGAATGATTTCTGAAGGATCAAGACTGGAGTGATGATGATCACAGGAATAAATTACAATTTATATTATATTCAAGTAGTTTTAAACTAATAATATTTCACAATATTACAGTTTTTACTGTATTTTTTATCAAATAAATGCAGCCTTGGTAAACCTAAGAGTGTAGTCTATTGCTTATACTGTAGCATGTTTTTCTTGGCTAATATCATCATATGGTCATATGATTGTAATATCGATTGATAAAAGTATTAAACACATTTAACTCCTATTGATCCTACTACTTTCAAAAAGAAAGAAAAAAAATTTGCAGAGAATCTTTTAGTCAAATTTTAGAATTTTAATGGCACTGTTTATTGGAGTGACAAACTTTGGTAAAAATAGTCAAATTATCTGAAAAAAAAAGTCAAATATTCATTGGGGTGGTCAAAAGTTTGTTACCAAGTCGATACTGAAGTTTTTAAAACGTAACAATATCTGCCGTACTGGTAGTATTGAGTATCGTGTCAATCCGGTACCTGCGGACTTTCCATATTTGTGTGAACACACCGTGAAAAATGTCAAAGGTTTTTATTTTATTTACAATTCTTTTTACAGCGTTGAACAGGGTAGCCAATCACAGACATATCTGTTGAGAAACTGAATGCAATGGCCAATCAGAGGTGTTTAAATTAGTCAGAATCCATTCCGTTGAGTGGTGAAGGAATGATGTCACAACCTGCGCTCAGTGCTTGTTCTGTAACCGTATGTAAATAAAATAGTTACCATACTTTGTGCTATGGTACCAAAATAACAATAATACAGATAAATACAGAAATTGGTACGGACTAGAGAATTTATCACAATGTGTACAAAAAGGATGTTTGACTTAAGGTTTTGTTTTGTAATAACTATTATTGTATTGCCAGTGTTGTTTTCCAATGATAACTCTGATTAAAGAAATAATGTAAAACAGTTTGTTTTTTTCACTCCTGCACCTTTTCATCATTTAAAATCTGGACAAAGCATTTAAAAAGGTAGTAAAATATTTTAGAGCTAGAAACTGGAAATAGCAATTTAAAAACATCCTAATAATTGTCTTTCCAAGGCCGTGGCAAGTCTAAAATCATCATAAATAAATAAAAAAAAAAACACACAATTTTTCTGGCATTTATTTTTCTGGCACTTTTTTCTTTCTTTAGATTTTGGGTTAACTATAACTAGCACATATTCTTGACCGGTTTGTTTGACTACAGCACTAACCTGTGTCCTGAAAGCCAGCGCCTGCTCAGGGAAACCCACGGACGTGAAGTAACGGGCCACATCGGCCACGCTCCAAAGCAAAGGGTCCTGCACAACTTCTTCCTTCACCGCTTCACTGAGAATGGACAAAAACAGCTTCAAACCTCAAAGTTCATGAGCAATGCAGACTAGGCTACTCCATATCACAAAAATAATATATTAACCAATGGTGTGAGTTTGAGGTGGTACTACTTGACAAATGGCATGTTCTAAAATACGTTCTAAGAATGTTTTGATAAAGTTATAGAAACGTTATTTTTGAATGTTCACAGAACGTTCAAAACATCCAGTTTTTAAATGTTTTATTTGTGTTTATGAAGAAGAGTAAGCGAACGTTCCATTTGATGATTTAATAAACATCATAGGAATGTTACTTTTTGAATTTTGAATGCTTTGAAACAAATATAAATGCATTAAAAAAATGTAACAAAAAAAAAAAAAAAGTTCCATTAATAATGTTCTGAGAGCATTATTAAAGACCAGGTAACTGGAAGAAGGTTTTTTCATAACTTTGAGAGAAGCTTTCCAGAATGTTAGCCAATGTTTTGCGAAGGTTCCCTGTTAGCTGGGATGATGACGTGTTTGAAAACATTTATTATTTGTCCAATTGTGCTTGATGCCACAGAAATGCCACTCTAGAACTTTAGGTCTCCATATTTCAGTGTTTATTGCCAAAGATACAAAGAAAATGTTAACTTTCACTCACTTTTCATTATTCATCTCTCCATTGTTAATGGTTTCTTCCTCTGTCGTGCTCTTGGGCTCCTTATTGCACATTTCACCTGTGAAAGCACAATTTGAAAAAAATATATGTACAATGAGTTGATAGATTTGGTGCTGGTTTAGAAATGAATGGGGACTTGGGACAAAATGCCACTAAAATGTCCCCCAAATTAAAGATGCACAAATTGCAATTGAAGTGAAGTGTGAACATGATTGAATAGTGTTGATTGTGGTCATACATTTAGATTTTGCATTTTGATTCGATTTTTTTTTTTTTTTTTTTTTGCAGCATTGAGCATTACAACCAATCACTCGCATTTCTGTTGAGCACATGAAAGCATTGGCCAATCAGTGGCGTTTACATTAGTCACAGGTGAAAGAACAAACGCTCACTAACTCACTTTATTCCTAATTTGAATAAACGTTTGTTTTTCATGCTACTAAAAAACAACCAATGATTTTCTAATGCATAAAAACTAATTCACAAAAAGTTTTTGTTTTGTTTTGTCTGTGCAAACTACAGGAATATGACATGCTGTTTCCCCAAACACAAACTTTTTTCTGTATTCTATTAATTGACAATAATTATCATTATTACAATATCAAGAGTAATAAATTGGCAGTAATCTTTGTAATAAAACTGCAACCATACTCTGTAATGTTATTTTTTTTAATTTTATAATGTAGTATATTCTTAATGTAGGCTATTCATTATGCATTTATATTGTAAATACACACATGAGCAGCAATAAACAGTCTGAGTAAATAAACATAAATGCTATTTCATAAGCAGCTTCCATTCCAACTTTGAAATTATATGATAGCTTTCATTGATGTTTATTATTTTTTACAGTCTATTATTCTCATTAGTTGTAGAAATTGGTTAAATGTAAGTATTTGACATAAACAAGATACACATAAAAAAAGACAACACAGATACATAAACATAAAGGGCCAATCCCAATTCTACCCCTTACCCCTTCACTTTCCCCTTCCCCTCCGTTTTGCGCGTCCACGTGAAGGGGTAGGGTTGTCCCAATTCTCTTTTGGTTGGAGGGGGAGGGCTAGGGGGAAGGGCCAGATAGCCCTTCAAACGAAGATTTTTCGGGAGCACACTTCAAACGAAGGGGTATGAGAAGTGTCACTGCTAACCCAGACTGGCTGCCCAAGCGACAAAGGAGACCCATAAATTTAAGTATTTGTGGCTTTAATAAGTATTGTAACGACAAATAATGATTTGCTTTATGTTACATTCAATATTGTGTTCATATTTACGGTCAGTTTCTTCACAGAAACGTTTGTAAAAAAAATCGCTAAAATTACTGTAGTTTGCTAACGATAGTCCCGCAACATATTTTCGTCGTCTCCGTTGTTTCCTGCGAACTTCACAAGATAAATGCAAGAAAATAGCTGTAACCCACGCGACTGAGATAACTGCAGCTGTCGACGGCATCTTGGAAGTTGTGATAAACATCGGCGCATCTCCTGTGACGCAGGAGCTAGCGACGACTTATAATGACGTTTAACGGAGGCGTAGTGGTGTCCCATTTCTTAGGGGAATATTTTCACCCCTACGCATTGCCACTCTGTTTCAAGGGTCAAGGGGAAGGCGAAGGGGTAGGGCTAGAGGAAAGTGAAGGGGTAAGGGGTAGAATTGGGATTGGCCCAAAAATTACCCTGACAAAGGTAAAAAAAAATAAATAAAAAATAAAAAAGCCTCTGGAAATTACTTCCAGGGGCAAAAATTGGTCCTTAAAGGTGCAGTAAGTGATTTATGAGAAACACTGTTGAAATTTGAAATTGCTTCATTGCTCCGCCCCCAAAATGCATGAACACGCAATGCAAGAGTGGATATTTATCATAGCTGAAGAGGAGCAAAATAATGCTTGGTATAATAATAATCTTGGTTCTGTGACTTTCCATGCATGTTACAGCACCGAGTGCCAGCAAACCAATGTTACTCAAGTATGTCTGTTTTCAGGCCTCAGCCTGATACAGTCTCTCCAGCGCAGGAAAGAAACGCTGGTTATCTGATATTAACATAGAGCTCTTTCCTGATCATAACCCTACATTTTCCAGTGATATTCCTCTGAGCTTTTATCTTTTGTAATGTCTCTCAGCCATCTCTCTTTCTACAATCTTTCTTCAAATCTCTTTCTTGCTCACTCTCTCTCCCCCATCATAAGTGACACACCCCCTGCAACTGATTGGCTCACTCTCTCTCCTCCCCATCATGAGTGACACGCTCCTCCTGCTGATTGGCTCACTATCTTTCCTCCCCCATCATGAGTAGACACACCCCCTACTGCTCAATTGCTCACTCTCTCCTCCCCCATCATGATTGGACACGCCCTCTACTGCTGATTGGTTCACACTTCCTCCTCCCCCATCATGAGTGGACACGCCCCCTTGCTGATTGGCTCACTATTCCTCCTCCCCATCATGCATGGACACGCCCCCTACTGCTGATTGACTATCTCTCCTTCTCATATTGAGTAGACACGCCTCCTACTGCTGATTTGCTCACTCTCTCCTCCCCATCATGAGTGGACACGCCCCCTCCTGCTGATTGGCAACAAGTGTGTTATGCTGCTTGGTCACATCCACTTTCAACAGTGTTTCTCAGAAATTGCTTACTGCACCTTTAATGGAAAACTTAATTTCTGACCCTGATACGTTATGGAAGTTAAGGAGAACAGGTACAATCCTCACCCTCCTCAGCATGATTAGAGACAGCGTGAGGCCCTCCGTCTGCCATCACCGCCTCGTCCTGAAGACAGACACGCACAATATGACACAGAGACGCAGAGGAACATGACAGATGTGCTGTGACTGGAAGCAGGACGGATGTGCTCACCGGCGTGACTGGATCAGGGGTGGCCACGCTCTCCTCCACCCTCGGCTCCTCCTCGGCTTTAAGAGCGGAGAGACAGATGGCCGCTGCCTCTTGCAAGGACTCCACGGACCCTGTGGGCCACAATGACAAATACCGTCAGCTGAAATCTCTTCATGTCGAACATTTACGCCATCAAAATGTGTGATTGAATGTTTTTGTCTTTGGACTTTTACTTCAAATTTTCTTCAAAGTTTTAAAACAAAAGCTGCTGCTCTCTCTATGTTTTTCCGTCATCATAGATCGTGTTCATGTGTAAATAGTGCAAGCTTATTTCATCTATTAGTTCAAAAGATCTGAAAAAGCCCATAGATTAACTGACCCATAGGACAAAAGTCAGGACAAAAGTGGTTGAAAGTGGACAAAAGATACAGATTAAAACACCAGGTGTAAACGGGAATGTGTTTCTCTAGTCTACTTGTGATGCAATCGACCAAAAAGCATCATAATACCAGCTATAAACAGGGCCTCTGATTCTCAAACAATTCTATTAATGAAGTTTACCGACTAACATTCGGCTATACTAGTAGGATGCCAGCTTTAACTGAGGGTGCACGAAATGGAAGATCTTATCTTTTCTGTTCCGATGTATATCCAAATGAAACGACTTCTCGAACAAGAAAAAAATGTGGGGCGGGGCTTGGTTTTGTCCATCAGTAGTTGATTAGAGAGTTGATTATCTCATGTGAGTGACAGGTCGCTCCGCCCTCACACCAGTAAACACATTATCAGAGAAGAGCAGAGATGGAGGGGAAGTTATTCTGATTAGATATTATAAGGAAAACCATAACGTTAAAGTCACCATGAAATCAAAATGGACAATTTTATTTTTTATGTATGTTTTTATATCGCAGTTTATTGTAAATGATTCATCTGTGAACATCATTATTTTTCTAATTAATTTCCTTATAATATCTAATCAGAATAACTTCCCCTCCATCTCTTCTCTGATAATGTGTTTACTGGGGTGAGGGCGGAGCAACCGGTCACTCACATGAGATCCAACAATAGCAAACAACAAAACCAAGCCCCGCCCCACATTTTGTCTTGTTCGAGAAGTCGTTTTCAACAGGAGAGAGAAGATCTTCCATTTCATGCAGACTTCATCATGTTAATTTGCAGTATGGTTTCAAAAGATTGATTCTGTATTTTAACTAATGTATGTGAATTAGCGTCTCAGTTTAAATGCTGGTTATTTTGGTGTTTTATCTTCAGTAGTACGTACCCGTGTCCTGCTGGGCTGCTGGTTGTATGTGCTCAGGCAGAGTGTAAGCGCTGTCGGCGTCCTGCCTCAGAGCATCATAGGTAGGAGAGTTCTTTGAGGAAGTGGGTGAAGGAACAGGAAGACTGGTGTTACTGCTGGTGACGGGACTCATGCTGATGCCCGAGTCAGCGGTGCTCTGAGCGCACATGGCGTCCAGACTGCTCTCATCGCCCTCCTCATCCATACTGCTGTCCATTCCTGCCGTCATCGACATCTCGTCCTAAAAAGATTGCAGGATTTTATTTTACTTGATCAGTCTGCCTACAATCCAGTGCAACATGAGGCTTCAACACTGTTTTTAACAGTTTTCATAACTTATATATACATAAATACATAACATTTTTTCAAGATGAATCATATGAAGCAGCACAGCGGTTTTCAACACTGATAATAATAATAATAATAATGTTTCTTAAGCATCAAATCAGCATATTTTTACAGGGGTTTTCAAGGTGCAGAGTAGGGTTGGGCGACATGACGATCGATAAGAGATTTTTCTATATAGTTTATCTGTATAAATACATCCATGCACTATTGGACTGCTTAAACACGATAGAGCAGCAAAGAAACATGGATGAATAAGAAGAAAGCGCGGGTCGTGCTTGATGAGGAGTTATTAAAAGAACAATAAACCTTCACTGAGAACAGAATTTAGTATCGGCTTTCTGTGGTGTACATCCGAAGCACACGAGTGCTGAATTATTGCGTTTGAAGGGCCAAATACACACATTTATGTGTCAAAATGCCGGTCTTGGCGAGTATTCATGTGAACACAGTCAGTTATGTCTAAAGGGAAAATAAACAGTTGGGCCAAATAGATTCTAAATAATTATCAATACATTGAATAAGTGCATAAGATCTTAAATTGACTGAAGTCTTATAGGCCGCATCTACTTTATATGGTTCAAGTGACCCAATTACTGATTTTTTTTCCTCCCATGGGGCACAGATATGACCAGGGCTTGACATTAACAGAGCGATATACACACAAACCCATCTCTCCTCACTCACTCGCTTCATTTGCTCCAGATGAATATTGTTGCTGTTACAGGGCTTGAATTTTGGCATGAGATTGTGTATAATTTTAGCCATTCCGGCAAATTTTCTGCTCACATCCAAAGGTGCGGCACATTAAGAAGCCTCTCAGTACTAAATAGTGTTCTTTTCTGCTGCTTATTGCGCTTAAACAGTCAAATATACAAAATAATGACAAAATGCCAGTCTTGGCCGGTCACATAAACAGTCAGTTATATTTGAAGTGAACGTAAACAGTTGAGAAAGAATACACATTTGTAACAGTATAAAGGATCCATGGGTCAGGTCTTAAAGTGACATCAGCCTAATATACCTGCTGCCAAATTATGAGATAATATTAAAAAGAAAAAAATATGGCAGTTTTTCCCCCGTAGTATCGATGCCAAAATTGTGTCCGGTGAAAATGTTGAGTTGCTGGTAACTTAGGAAAACCACAAGCCACAGTTGCAGGTGAGCAAAAAAGTTAATGTCAAGCCCTGGATATGACCCACGAACGAGCAAGCCTGAAAAAGGCACATGGATTTCGATATTCTCCAATTGGTCATTCATGTGGAAATAAATCTTGCAAGAGGACAGATCAGATATCCTCCTGTCAAAATGAATTGTACGTCATTGAAAAAACGACAGTGCTGAACGAACTATGATCACATTACTGTTTTTTTTTTTTTTTTTTAATGGCGGCTAAACCTAACGTTTTGCTGACCTATAATGATGTTGTGGAAAGCAAATGCTTGCATTATTATCATTGTGTCTTTGTCCAATGCAAATCAAGCTGTTTTTACTTCCTTTTTGGCATAAGCTCTTCCAGATCTGTACGTCTACCTGGGGTTGTTTCGCCAAGTTTATAGTGTAAATGCAGATCTCCAATATGGGTCACTTTTAAAAGATGTAATCTGGATGTCAAAATAATTCAATAAATCGAAATTGGCAATCAAGAGCTGCAGCGTAAATGCAGCCATATAGGCCTACCTGCTGCATAAAAAAAAATTCACTACTTTTCATCGAATATCTTTTATGTATATGTAATTCATAGTGCAGTTCATACTATGCTGTTTCATTGGGGGGATTTGCCGTTTGCGTTGTTTTTGTTTCTTTCATTCTTTTGTTTTTAATAATTGTGTAAAAAAAAATGTCTGAAATGCCAATAATTTAATGGCAGTCTCCCATTATGTCAACTTAACCCATATAATGTGCCAACATGTCCTGTTAAGGGTTCAGTGAACCGTCCTGGGCAATAACAGAGGAATGTTCAATAGCCCAGAAATATTTTCACTAAAAATCATAAGCAGCCAGGCAGGAGGAATAAAGAAAACATCTATTAGCATTCACTCAGTGGCTGAAAACAGGACTGCATGCAGCTTAGCAATACATTTAAACGAATATATTTCGATTATCGCACTTTGTGATTATGCTCAAAAACCGCCCCACTGCAAAACTGGATTACCGTCGAATCGAGCTTTAGTGTCTGGTGTCTGAAGGCCGCGCGCACTGTTTATTCAGACAGAAATTCCTCGTCGCCCGTCTTTTCCTACACTTTGAACCCCAGGTTTTGGCGATGATTGACGCTATGATATTACTACCAAAGCAGGAAGCATAGCGAAATAACTTAGTAATACAGTATGAGGCGAACATTAGAGAGTGAGATTTCTGAACGGAGGCGCCCTGCCTGAACTCGCGCGAGTCGCGGTTCTCCTCCGCGCGCCCTCAGAGTGAAATGGGGCGGGCTCATGAATATTAATTAGCGTAACCTTCTCCAACAGCATATCAGAACGAAGCGAGCGGGCTCATTAATATTAAGTTACGTAACGCTCTCTAGTCGCATAGAACGAACCGAAGGGGCTCATGAATATTAAGTGGGCGGGCGGTTCTTCAGCGGCTTGAGAGAGAGAAGCGTGGCGAGTTTATGAATATTAATTAGAAACGCCACAGGCGAACTTCACGCAGCCTAGTTAATATTCATGAACCCGCCCCGCTTCGCTCTGAGGCGCGCTGCCTGTCTGAGAGAAGCGCGTCCCAAAGCAAGCCAATGTTAAACGTGGCTATAGCCGACATTTTTCTCCTTTAAAACACATCCAAAACTAACGTTCCCCGTAGTGCACATGATTAATGAGTAGCGCAAGTTCACGAGCAGCAATGACGACTTGGTTCGCACTTCGCGTGCACGAACATAAAGGATCGTCTAGATCAGCCCGTGCAATGACTTGCGCTTCAATGATCGCTATAAATTATCGTATTTACTTTGTCACGACCCCTACAAGTGGACAAATGCGATCTCCCGGTAGTAAATATTCGCTATGGCAAGTGCCTCCAGTGTCGCTCCTTGTGCGAAATGCGTCAGTCGGCTGATCAGTGATGTTTTGGTGACTTTCCCCCGCTAGTTTGGATCAACGGACAACGATTTTATCGCTAAAGTTGAGTTATGGGACTGTCTGCGCTCGAACAAAAACTCGCTCCGAAAGATCTCGACCTCGCAGAATCAGATCAAGCGCTTCCATTGTTGGCGATTTTCCGACGCTCATGAAGGTTCGTGCCGCTCCCCGTCTGCGCCAGTCCGCGCGCGCGTGTGTGTGTGTTTGTGCGTGCGTGCGTGCACTTGCTTTCATGTTTCATGCGCCAGAACAGTTAAACTAGTGACAAAACACCAATGATTGCCATTGCGCCTCTGTGGTTTTAGCCGGAGCGCAGCCGCTCTTTTCAGTGCGCCAGCGCTCGGTTAAGGTTTACTTACTTCCATATCCTCCATGTGATCCTCATCCACGGGACCCAGAGCGCTGTCGCCGGCGCTCCAGTCCGCGAGAGAAGGCTGTTTCACCGCACACTTGCTCTGCTCGGTTTTTCTCCTGCCTCTTAGCACCTTTGCCGCGTTGCGATAGGACACCGAGCCTTTATAGTTGACTTTCAGCACCGTTTGCTCCTCTATCAGTTTCTCTAGTTCTGAACGGGTTTGGTCCCAGTCCGAGCCGTATCGTCTTTTAACCATTCTGCAAATTCTGTCCAGGTCCGGTCGCGCTTTTCTCGACCGCAGCGAGTCTATGGAGCCCAGGATCCATTCTCTGTACGGCTTGGACATTATTCCTAATGGGCTTCAAGCTTGATAGAGTGGATGAAGTGCGTCAGTGTTGCCTTCGACGTGACGCTCGTAGTCTTTCGAGTCGCGGCGCGAGCGCGCTGGAGAAAAAGAAAAAAAACGGAAACATACTGTACGCGTGCGTTGATCACATTGAGCGCTTAAGGTGGAATGCGCGAGATGCGCGTCCCGCCACTAGGAGATTTAAGGAGGATTTGCTCTGTTCTGTTGTTCTACGTGCAGCAAGTTCTGTTTGAAATGCGACTACTAGCATGTTGCACGTTTTGTTAATAATACGCATTATTCGTCGATAAAAACCCGTTTTATTTTCACACCCATCGTTAAATTAAGCCGGTTGTCTTAGAAATAAATAAAAAACCTTGGAATTTTAAATGTTATTCAGTAAAAATCTGTTAATGTTTGGCAATCCAATAAAACAGCTAGCTACTAGAAGTTAGCAAAACAAGGCATTTTGTAACAATAAAGATCTCAAACAGTCTTATGCTATTGTTGTCAGATTAGCTTATTACGCTTCATGTTTAAAATCACCATTAAATCAAGGACAATTCTTATTGTTTTTCTGGAATGTTGCATTTACGATTTATCCATACATTATTTCTGTCTTATTCATGTGTCCTCAAAATGTTAAATCAAAATAACTTCAGCTCCCTCTTGCAGCGACATTTCTTTAGCGTGGGCGGGGGAACCTGTCACTCACATGAGATCAACCAATAGCAAACCACAGTCGTCCAATTAATTCTCCATAAACAAAACCGAACGTTTTTTCTCCTTCAACAATCCTTTTTATACGCCACAATGAAGGAGAAAAGACTAAATTGCAAGTTCTGTTTCACACTGACTTTTAATCAGGCAACAAACATAAATTTAATCCTAGAATCAATTGGCGGTTTCATTAAATAATTTTAAAAGTAGCTTTTTATGACTTAAACATCTTAAAATTCTGGAAATCCAATCAATTATAGAAGATTGGAATTGAAATTCCAGGTTATGATGACACTAGAAATAGAAGGTCAAATAATGTGCATTGCATTGTGGGATAGAGCATTATGCAGTGTGCTCCGTTGCAGCTAAAGCAGATTCATATTTCCTGTCAGCATTTCCATGCATCTCAAAAGCAACTAGTCTGGTGCAAGAGCACCTGAAATTCATAAGTGATCCGCCATCTTTTCTCATGGGTGCTGCCAGTTCATTTTGAGACATAATGTCATGTGACTAATGACTAGACTCGCAAGAAAATGATGTCATCTATAGGGGGAAAATACAATCCAATTCTTGCTACACATACAAATGGTAAAACATTTGCCATGATAAAATATGATGCATTCTGTGCTACGCTGAATGTCTTTAAACAGCCTTGAATCTAACTGATAAATATGAAGAAATTTCAGACAGCATTGTAATTTTAACAATTAAAACTTTATTGGAATGATACATGTTGCAAAATATTATTCTGTGTATTTTTTATTTTTAAACATACTCGATGTGTCCTACGGGTATCCGTCAACTTCTCCAGAAGGTAAAATAATTAAGACTGTTAAAGGCAGAGAATATACAGTATTGTTTCCCGAAAAAGGTACAATAGACTACACCATCACCATACCCATGTCGGGAGGAAAGAGACTCCTGTTATTGAAAATACACTTAGAAAATATGCAAAAGTAAATCAAATGTTTTCTTCATGATTTCTTTTTTTTAAAAAGCAAATAGAAGAGTGTAGGAAACTGGATGTGTAGAAAGGCAAACTGTATCATGGACTGATGCGCACACGCACGCGCGCACACACACACACACACACACACACACACACACACACACACACACAAAGATGATTGACAATGTAAATGAACAGATGAGTGAGAGACTGGAGGATGTGTGACACCCATGTATTTGAAAGTGAGGGACAGGGCCCCAAGAATCAGGCAGACATGGAGGGATGACATGAATACCACCAAGAATGTCATGCTCTGACAATAAAGAAAAAAAAAAGTGAGCCATAATTTCACCAATTTAAACCGCTGTTGCTTAAAACAGAAGCCTTCCATATCACGATCAAGCTCAAAGTTGAGGAGGATAAAGCTAATAAGAAAGCCAACCTGTACATTAGAACTCAGTGCACCAGTTAAAGATAGTCTTACGTTGCTTCTAACATCACAAAACCAGTGCAGAAGAGCCTGCTGGCAAATCCAATCATACAGAAGCATCATTTAAACACTGATTGTTTTGTTTTTCAGCTATTGAAACCCAAAAGGTGGTGTCCTGTTTGTACACCCATTTTATGAAGTCTCCAGAAATGGGGCGAGTAAATGTCCCAGCAGTAGCTAGGCATGCAGGGAAAAGAAATCTAAACCTATCCAAAAGCTTTGTGAAATACAAACATCTGCCTTTTACTTCCGTCTCCGTTTCTAAAAGCACGACTGATCAAAAACGGACCCAATCTGATCCGTTTTGTCGGTGCACCTGGCAGCTTACAGTGACATCATTTCCTGAGCGGGAAACGTAAATGAACAGGTATTTGATCTTAAACTGTAAAATCAAATGGCATCATCCTGTAGTGTCCAATTGATGCTACCATTATTAAAAGACACAGGGAGAGTTGCTTACCAATACCATTTTAACCTGTAACATTCAGCAAAATTAAGTTACACTACTCATCATAAAAAAACAAGCCAAAAAACAAATTTGCATCTAGCGCGGCACCTAATGAGCAGACGACTCCTGAAGAACAAGCGATAATTGGCGTCTCACATTTAAATGTGAAGCGTTTAAATTTTGCGCCACTAGGGGCAGCAAATGAACATACAAAAACGCAAAAATAATGACTTATCAATCCATTCAAGCTAATATATTATGTCCTTTTCATTTGGTTACTCAACAGACTGCAGTTCAGTTTCATCTACATCTAATTAAATCTTCATTGACGAGAAGCTTTCCGAGCATAACGAAATAAAATCTTTGCGACACACTACGCACTATTGCACGTTTCTGCAAACTAAACAAAACAAATATGGGGACGTTTGCATTTAGATTCTCTTGCATCCCAGAGTTTAAAAGAGCAAGAGAGAAAGTTGATCAATTCGTCGGACGATATTTCGAAAGGTCGAATGGAGCTTCACTAACTGGTCTTAATAACGCACGATAAAGTCTACACGAACAACAAGCTTATTTGAAGCAGAAACAGAGTTGATTAGTGAAGCCGTAGAGAGTTAAAACACGTATTGAATGTCCGTCTTCTGTAAGGATAAAAGAAGAAATGCCAGAAAGGGTTTGGCTACTGGCAGGTGATGAAATTAATAATAACGAAAAAACATCATCATCATCATCAGCTTCCACCAGAAACCGGGTGTAACCACAGAAAACGTTAACGTTCCCCTTTAAAAGCGTCATTCTAAAAACAAGAAGCATTTGTGCTCGGCCAATTCACTGCATTCCTTCACTTTCCCATTTCCTGTTGATTTACTCCTGGAAAATTTAGCCATCTAGGAAAAAGTCATGGATTTGGAGATTTAAGCATGCTTGTTCATGTTATATAAAGTGGTGTAACGGTCTTATCGGTGGCCATTTTAAAGCCAACACGTTCTATTCGTATGACAAGCTGGGCTTTTAGGACACGTAGAGCGCCACAACATGATCTAGAGAATGATGATCCAAATCAGTGTCTGATTCTGCCTGATCTTGGGAAATTGTACCCAACCAGTATGTGATGATAAATTTGAAGGATGGCGGCGCGATGCTTGAAATTCAAATGGCAAATGTGTGATTTCTAAAAAAAAAAGCCAAAACTCGTGGGATTGATTTGGTATTGGGTGCCAATAGGTGCACAGGAAGTAAACAAGATGTGACAGAGTGGAGAACTACAGAGCAAGGACACCTTCGCTGATAAAAAAAAAAAGGGGGGGGGTAATGTTCTCTGGAGAAGCCAAAATTCAGTACCAGAAAGTAACCTCTATATCTCTGAAAAAAGAAAAAGAAACAAAAAAGAAAGAAAGAAGAAGTCACAAATATCCCCATGCCAGCCAGTCACAGAGAAGTGACTGAATCTCCGCCCAATGGACCCTGGCTACCAAACAAGAGGGAAAACATGAAAATGGACAAGTAACAAGTGACGAAGGATCTGAAAAGGCAACACTGCTGGCGTCTCTCTCAGGACTTTCTGATCTTCTTCTCCCTCCATCAGTGCGCGAGGGCTCTACTTTGTTGTTGTTGTTGTTACCAGATACAGGCTCAGTCCGGTTCATCATCTCACCCTGGAAAACGTTTTCTTCTCACTGTTGCCCCACATCTAATTTCTCTCCATCCCTCTCTCCTCCACTCCTGCTGCTTCTAGAATTCAGCAAACTCCTTTCCACATTTCTCTGTGAAAGACACCCGGATTTCTTCCTCCTCGTAGTCGTCAAAGTTGCTGGTGTCCCCGGGGCCTTTGCACTTAGGGATGAAGGGGGCCTCCACCTGAAACATACAAATATACACTGATGAATCAGTGGAAAAGCTTGTTACTTTTTGATTAAATATTAACATAAAGGCCACGATATTCTTCAAGCGAACACGAAGAACGAACGTCATTAAAGGTACAATATGCAGGATTTTTGCAGTAAAATAACCAAAAACCACTAGGCCAATGTTATACATTTTGTTTAGTTGATTACGTACAATATTCCAAATGTTTCCAACTATTTGTAAATCGTGAGAAAATTGCAATTTTTAACCAAGGAAACGGGGCGTGTGAGCAGGGGTGAGGAGTCGCCAGTCAATGACGTCATATCCGCGTTACCCCCAGTTTCCGCCAGGTTTGACCTCGTACTGCAATAGTAACCATGGCGACAAACGTGGACAACTGGGTCGATTATGCCCGTTATGCGTTTTCAACAGCGTGAGCGTCCCTAGCAGGGTTTTGTTCAAACATTATGGACCATGGCAAGACTAAAAGGAAGATCAACATCTTTCGAGATGCCGAGAGCTCCACGTCCGCGACTAACTTCGACTTGACAGAGACGCGAGTGTTGCATGTTACTTGAGCAAACAGGTGAAGAAATCAATGTATATAAAACTAACCAATGTTATGTAGTTCAACATGATGAAAAGTTAGAATATGATCTACATGTTAATCTAGCTTAGTCTTATACAGCCAACAAACAACCTAACTAACAACAATCAACACATGTGGATGCCGTTTAGTGTGATAGTGAAACTGTTAGAGCAAGTGAAGCAGTGCTGCGTTACCTCAAGTTTAATTCCTCTAATAAACTGACCTCACCTGTGTGAGTAATTTAGCATGTAGTTCGTTAGAATTAAATGTCCTTATTCCTTTATATCCGCGGGACTCGCGTCGTGCGTGATGCTGGTATACGTCTAGCAATCGCGCCCTGCTTCATACTACAGTCAAGTTTAAAAACATAAATCTATTCACTCATCCATAAAAGACCCATCAGTTTGACAAGAGCCATAATTTCGCTTACGGAATATACGTCATTAATATACGCCTTTGTAATCGTAAGAGGTTAGTGACCCCTTAAAGTGGTATGGGGTGCGGTTGCATCTGGGTTTTCCCCGAGTACATGAGCACATTATTGGACCGACACCCGAGTACTGGTATCGGTGAATCCCTAAGTAAAAGTATAGCATCTGCCATGTGATTGATGCTCAATGTCACTAGCAGAGCAGAAATACATAATCATCCTTCACTTGGTCCCTTCAAAGTCACGTTGGATTTTCTCCTTAACATAAAGGTTGACAAGTGTCTGGACTTCTGCGTCGGTCTATCTATCGGAGTAAATATGAAGAGTTCAGATGCAAAAGCCTCTAAATACCATTTGAAATTTTCTTCTTTAATGATGATTTTTATCAAACTTGTATATTTAAGTTCAGTAATTTCACTTAAATAACAATTAATAGGTAATTATCATTGCCGTTTAAGTGAAATTACTGAACTTAAATATACAAGCTTGATAAAAATGATCATTCTAGAAGAAAATTTCAAATGGCACTTAGATGCTTTTCCATCTGAACTCTTCATATATAGGCTATAAACTCTTGAGAAGCTCACTGAGAAGCTTCAGCCACGTGGGTGAGATTAATCTCCCGAGTGCTGTCACTGTGTTTGCACAGCTTTTTAACAATTATCGCATGCGTTCAGGCAATTGACATACAATTACGTCACCGGTAGTTCCAATTGTGCTGGGTTAGACACTACTCTGAAGTAGAAGCTAATTTAGTCCCCACAAAAGGCGTTCCTAGAACTGAAATCATTCCCAGTTCCAGTGATAATACTGTACACCCAAAGAACTTTACAATCATATCATGGGATCTCTACTCAACCACCACCAGTGTGCAGCATCCACATGTACTGATGATTGTTCACAAAATGGTCCCAATTTTGATATCGGGTTGACTTAAAGAATGAGGAAAAGGTGAGAACATTGAAAGAACCCAGTTTGATTCAGGTACCTTCTTCTGGTAGATTGCGATCCAGTCGGTGGTTGCAAACCATTTGTGGCCCTTGATGTCGTTGACGCCGTTCTTGAGGTTCCCGAAGCGCTTCGTGAGGTCTACCTGCAGCAGGTTCCTCAGCAGGTCCTTCAGGTCAGAGCTAAAATGCGAGGGGAATCGGACCTACAGGGAGATCGTGACACACCGTCAGTGCTTGGGATTCATGATGCATTGACTTGCGAAACACCAGAAAGTCTCATCACGATTGATACAAATGATGATTAATAAACGAGAAAAAAAGCAACATTTCAGTTTATCTGTCAAATCCTAATGAACTGACAGCGACTGAATACTTAAATTTAGAGCGCAGTCGGGCTGGGCGATATATCGAGTTTGTACGATGTATCGTTATATTTTTTGAAACGATATGGAATGAGGCAATACCGTTTATATCGATACAGTAGTTTGATATGAGCACATCTGAAAAATAGCGGAGTTTGCAGTGTGAGCTGCTGCAGTGAAAGTAGCTAGGCTACGTAGTACAATTTGTCCTAAACATGACACAAGCTTATATTAATTGCGTCAAAATCACTTTGATATAGTTAACAAGTTTAAGGCAGCTTGCTGCCCTGTCAAATGCTCTGACAGACACTGTTGCTGACTGACAGATATACTTGCGCTGTTTAATGCGTTTGAGATGTGGTGCTTTCCTCAGTGCTCAACTTACATTTCACATGTATATTCTCCATCTGTAAATGTTAGAAAGTAAAGCAAATATGTCCATTTCACAACAAATATGTCCATGTCAGAAGAGGACGAGCTTCTGCAAGTGAATCTCCGCTAAAATTCATGCTTCCTTGAACGAGCGCGCGGCGCGCGCATGCGCGTGAATAGTACTACGTAGTACGCAATAATTCTGACTAAAATAAACATATTGCTAAAATATTTGTTGTTGGAGAAAATAAATGTGCCATATGTGGAATTTTAAACCTACAAGTATATATTTTCAATGAAAGTGAAAGTGATTATAATGGGGTAATCAAATGCAGGCTAATATAATTAGTTTGTGCTTTTGTTTTTGTTTTTATTTTCATTTTTAGTTTAGCTTTTAGTCAATATAAAAACAAAAGCTTTTTGCACATAATATATTGCATAGCCTATATTATATTTGTTTCCATATCCTTCAATATCAACATTGTTTGTAGGGTATCATTGGGCCGAATGTGAATATATATATATATATATATATATATATTTTTTTTTTTTTTCAATATAAAGATTTTCTTTATCTAAATAGAAAACGTAGAAAGTACCGAGATATATATCGTATATCGCCATTTGACCAGAAAATATCGAGATATGATTTTTTGGCCATATTGCCCAGCCCTAGAGCGCAGCATCTCACACTCAAATCATAAAACCAATGGAAACTGACAAAAAACCTAGATGACACAGTTCAAGCAGTCAAATCGATTAATTGAAACTGACAGAAGTTCGTACAAACAGACAGATAGACACGAGATTTGTGTACGTTTTAGATTCTGTTATGGCTTTTCTTTTCAGTTACGTGTTCTGTAAGGGTTGACCTGCCCTTTTCTTTGAAATCAAGTTCATTATGTTTTTTATCAGTTTTGGATAATTAGCTGGATTTTGATTTGGAAACTTCGAGGGAAGTTAGTTTGATATTTTGTTTATTTTCCGTTTTATTTATTTTGGGCCTTGGGTGTTCCCAAGGCCCAAAACACACTGTATGTATGTATATATATATATATATATATATATACTGTATATACACATATACACACACACACACACGTTTTTATACATGCGTCACATATATAATTATACAAACAAACGTATTTTACATGCGATTAATCGATTTGACACAACTAATACGGAGTTCTTTTTATTTAATTTTTTTCATTAATTTTAAATAAAAGTTTTTTTAAAAATATTACTAAGGTTTAATTTATTTTTATTTCAGCTTTAGTTTTTATTTTCATTTAGTAATTTTAAAACTTATTTCAGTAGTTGCCTAATTTTAGTTGTTTTTTCCACTAGTATTTAGATTTCATTTTAGCTTTATTTCAACCATTTTTAAGATGTTTTACTTAACCTTGGTCTTCGTTACCAATTATTTCAGAATTATTTATATAATATTGTAGTATTTATTAATACTATTTTTAAGCTTTTAGCTTTTATTTTTTCAGATTTCATTTCAGTTTTAGTAATTTACCTACTTGCTTTGACCATTTTTATTAGTTTTTTTTTTTCAATTTAGCTTTAATTTATTTTTATTTCGGTTTTACTTTTAGTCATTTCAGCACGTGAACTTAAACGGAAATTAGATATTTTAAAAAACTTTTATTTTTAAACTTAAAAAACTTTTTATTTTAAAACTTTTATTTATTTAATTTTAAAAAACAAAAACGTGACAGAAAATACAATCCATATACCTTCTTCTCTAAGGTGAATATATCCGTTTAACAAAAAGTTATCACGTTCATATCTGTCAGCAGTCATTCTGACTGTCATCAGACAAACAGATGTACAGTCCAGAGATATAAATCCCAGGTAAGAAAGTACATGGACACGTTTTGGGGATTTCTAGGAGTTTTGCTCATTATCATTTAAAGAGACATGCACCGAAACGGGTTGCTGTGAACAGAGCTGTTTGAGGAGGTAAAAAGGGTGTTGTTTTACACAACCCTTTAGGAATTTTAAAAGTATTTAACAAACTTTACATTAAGATCCTAAAGAATCGTACGAACTTGGGCATCCGATGACCCAAAGACTTTAAATAATCCATACAATTTTGGTTCGTTTTTAAACGAAACCCTAGTGCAGTGCAGAGTGAGTGAAATCCTGATATTCTGTGCTCACCTTCCCAGAGACAATCTTCTCGTAGATCTGAATGGGCTGGTCAGCAAAGAACGGAGGGTAACCAGCAGCCATCTCGTAGATCAGCACTCCCAGAGCCCACCAGTCCACTGCCTTATTATAACCCTAAGAGACAGAGAGAGCAAGAGGAGGCAAGGTTATGCTGGAATGGACAAGCCAATGATCAACAAGTAAAACAGCTTTGTCACTAACTTTACTGAGGATGATTTCTGGCGCCAGGTACTCAGGCGTGCCGCACAGTGTCCAGGTCCTGCCCTTTACACGTTTAGCAAAACCAAAATCTGTTACCTGAGGGGAAAAAAGCAAGAAGAATGACAATAAAAATTGTATATGAACAGAATCCGACATTAAAAAAAACAACATGTATGGTCTCAAACACATTTGCAGTCTTGTAGGTGCTATGATTACATAAGGCCATCTGCATGTTTACCTGTATGTATCCCTGCTGGTCTATGAGCAGGTTTTCAGGCTTCAGATCTCGGTAGATAAGATCAAGCGAGTGAAGGTATTCAAAGGTCAGAACTATCTGGGCGGCGTAGAATCGGGCATGAGGCTCACTGCACCGGACACAGACAGACAGACACAACGTAAACAAAAAAGAGGTAATGAGACCTGCACGCATAGTAACTATTCAAGAAGGTGAAAAACATCATTTTGAATGGTTTTCAGATGAAACGGGGCAAACAGCGTGTCAGGACACGGTTGCCACTGTTCGACACGTCGTGTCAACTACCCTAAAATAGTTTATTACCTGGACTGCACATTGTTTTTGTTCTTTTTGAAAAATAACAGTAATATACAGCTATAATATACTATGTTGTGTGCCTGGTTAACGCAGACACAACCAACATGTCAGGCAGCAATTGTGCTCATAACATACAATCTATCTAGGTCTTTTGACTATCAACGTTTTCTGGTCTAGAACCATGTACTTAGACAGAAAACTATCAAGATAGATCTTTTAAGTTAACTACAAGCGTTTTAATGGATGTGCACCAAAAAAACCCAGAAGAAATTAGCCAGAAAGATTGGCAGTATGCAAAAGAATCCACTTGCGTGCTCCAGTCACAATGACTGTTTTTCAATCTGACAAGTTATTATGTAATAATAATAATAGTAGGGATGTACTGATGTATTAGTTAATAACCGATATCATTATTGGAATATTGATTTTCACTATTGGCCACTATTATTCACTAACAAAACACGTGTTGAATTTAGGGCTGTCAAAATTAAATCAGGCTCTTTTTGACCCTATGAATCATCCATAGTTCAATCCAGGGTTGCCAGGTCTGCGGTTTTCCCTATACCAAAAATATTTTTTTAATCACACTTCCTATCCAATAATCAGAAAGAGCTTTGTGTTTTGTTATTTCTGATAACAAAAAGACTCAGCTTTCAAATTCTGTCCATTTTATCTCAAAATCCGAACAATTATGGCGTTTTGACGGTCTTAAATGAAGACGTGACAGATTTCTGTAGATACTCAATACACTTTAATACAAGTTACAGCATGAAAAAAACATGCATGAATATCAAAAGGTATGTTGAAAGATACAGTGCAACTTACTGAAATGTATCTCGTCTCATCAATCAGTATTTAAACCACAGAAAGACGTCATTAAAACAGCTTGTGAACAAGGTCACCTAAAGTTGCATTTACCTCAAGTTCTCCGATATTCACAGTTCGTTCGTTAGTTAGTAATAAAAACACTTGCGGGGAGCTTTTTTACTGTTAATATGTAATTTTGAACAAATTTGTCACGAAAGCTACCTACTCTGCAAAAGTGCGGAGGCACATTTCAAAGAAAACGTAGGAAAGTAAGAAAAAAAAGAAAGACTAATGCAATGTGACTGCAATTAATTTATTATATATTAAGACAATGTTTCATACTTAATAGACTATTCATAAACGCATGCCATCTATGCCTTTCCACGCATTCCATCTCTTCAACCAGAATCGCGACCGAAATCACACTCACGTCCGAAAACAAAAACAGCATTCAATCTTTGCCATCCTCAGCAAGCATCTTGGACAGCAAAATGACCAGGCATTGAGAGCAAAGAAATAAAAGTAAGAAAACAGGGAATAGATTAAGGGGTTTAATAGGAATTAGTATTGGCAGAGAAATTTAGTCGTAAAATATCCAATATCACACATTTCAAACCATTAGTCAACGCAGCAGTTTCGGAGCAAGGTTGTACAGACAAAAATTAAGGTATGAGAATCAGTTTAAGTATAGTTACGACAAAGTGCCTCCGGAAAGAAACTCTGAATACATTCCAAAGGTTTAACAAGTTAACCTCGACCACCTGAGACTGACAGTGGATCAACTCAGTGGATTCAGTCGATGTAGTCTGTAGTTACGCAAGATTTACTGCAAAATGTAGCAACACATTTCACCATCGGCACTGCACATTTGACCAATAAATCTTTGAACTTTGCAGATAATCCAGTAGTATTCTAAATATGATACAGTTTTGAGTGTCAACACAAAGATGGCGTGGAACAATTTGTAGTACTTCACTGAAAACAGTAGAAAACAACAAGTAGCTATAATAAAAGAAAGCAATATGTAGTAATTAGTAGTACGTATGTAGTAATACACCCAAATTAAAGGTTGGATAGAGTAATCTTATGCAGCTAGTGTGAAATGCATAAAGAAAAACACACCTGAACCGGCCGATTCTGCGTAAGTGGGAGAACATCTCTCCTCCAGGAACATACTCCATTACCATATACAGGTTAGTATTATCCTAAATGGATAAAACACATAAGAAAAAGTACAAAAACATTTAGAAACACACACAAAGATTTTTGATTGTTGTTCAAGTCTCTTCTGCTCATGTAATATTGTGAAATATCCTTTTCTATTTTAATATATTGTAAAATGTAAATCATTTATGATCCAAAGCTGGATTTTCAGCATGATTACACCAGTTTTCAGTGTCACATGCTCCTTCAGGAATCTTTCTAATATGTGCTGATTTGACGCTCCAGTAATATTTCTGATTATTTTTACATTTTTACACCATACAGGTGAAACTCGAAAAAATTAGATTATTGTGCAAAAGGTTTTCATAGCCATTAGCATCCCAATTATCACAAATAAAGGCTTGAAATATCTCACTTTGCATGTAATGAGTCTATATAATATATTTTTCAAGTTTCACCTGTATATTGTAGAATTAAAACACCCTTAAACCCAATTTTTTTTAAAAAAAAATTACTTGAATCAATGAACAGCATTAATAAAGCCTCAGTCTTCCAGCATCATTAGCTAAAAAAAAGTTTTTTCAGGGGTTTAGTTATGTTGAAAACAGTAGTGCTGCTTATTTTTGTGAAAACATAGATTTTTTTTTTTTCAATTCTAATATAAATTGAGAGATGTATTAGAAATGTAATTATTTAAACTTTTAACTGACTATCCCACGATTCTCCAAATCCTAACGTCCTCTCCACACACCACACCAGCACAGCTACCTTTGAACGAGTGCTCCAATCGCACCAGGAATGGGAAGCTGACAGCCTGCAGGATGCGTTTCTCATTCAGTGTGTGTTCTATCTGTTTTCAGTTTAACCACCTGAAAGACACAAGAAATTAGCTCAAACACACACACACTTCACTATATTAGTAAGGCCATTCCATAGACTTCCATTGATTTTATATCATGTTGATATATGGCCTAAAAGCAACCCCTAACCTATAAACATACCCATCACTGAAACCTGTGCAGAACACTAGATATAAATAGTAAATACAAACATGTTTTGGCCTATTATATAAGC